GAGAGGAATTGGTAAAAGGCCACAAAAATTAATTACATTGTATAATGCCGAATATACTAATTATCCCAACTTGAACATCTTATATTGCACACAGGTATTGATATTTAACTCTGAACCCCAGAAATATGTACAATCAACTCTGTTCCAACAATAAAAGAACCCCCCCCAAAACCCCAAATATATTACAAATTCTATTTTAGTAACAAAATATAATTCCTTATATTTCCTTAGAACTTAAATATTCTCAAAAGGCATTGAATATCATTAAGAGTACCATGGGCATTCTTCCTTGAGTTGTATCATACATGCACATACTTGTACATGCCTGACCTTTCTGGGAAAACAGATGTTTTCAAGAGTCACTGATTTCCATTAGATCTTATGTTCCTAGATGATGGAAGAGTTAGATGTGTGTGTGGTAGCTGGTGGGGTGTTGAGGGGAGATGGCAAGGTATAAGATGAAGAGGACAGCCTGGTTTTTTTACTTCTTTCTAATCCCATGGACTGTATATAAACCTTATGGAGAGGAAGGTGCAAGAAACTCTGAAGAAGGTGTTTTCATGAGAAGCATTTTAAGGCTGCCTTAGATTGGAGGTGGAAAAAACTCCAGGAAGTTGGTTGCACAGTGATGTTGGGCCCTGTGATAAACCATGGCTTTGACATTAAGGATTTCACCTTGTCTTCCGTTAAGAGTTGGAAATGATTTCTTGAAACGTGCACCAGTTAGTTAGGCTTTCACTCCTATTCCCCAAATGATTGAGAGCTGCAGAAGGAAGNGGAGGTGGAAAAAACTCCAGGAAGTTGGTTGCACAGTGATGTTGGGCCCTGTGATAAACCACGGCTTTGACATTAAGGATTTCACCTTGTCTTCCGTTAAGAGTTGGAAATGATTTCTTGAAACCTGCACCAGTTAGTTAGGCTTTCACTCCTATTCCCCAAATGATTGAGAGCTGCAGAAGGAAGGTTGGATCAGAAGCAATCACGAAGGAAGAATTAGTTTAGTATAGACATGGAGTGCGGAAGGAGGGAGACATACTATTTCAGGATGTGTTTTTTAAAAAAAATTTATTTAATTTTTTTTCTTTTTATTGTGGTAAAATCACATAACATGAGGTCAATATTAACAGTATTAACAATATCGTACAGAAGATCTCTAGTACTTTTCTCATCTTGCATAGCTGAAACTTTATACCCTCTGAACAGTAATTCCCTATTTCCCCTTCCCCTAGTCCTCTGGCAATCATCGTTCTACTTTCTGCTTCTATGAGTTTAACTACTTCGGATATCTCTTTTAGTGGAGTCCTGTAGTATTTGTCCTTTTGTGATTGGCTTATTTCACTTAGCATAATGTCCTCCAGGTTCATTCATGTTGTAGCATGACAAGATTTCCTTCTTTTTTTTTTTTTTTGTCTTTTTCCGTGTCCGGCAACGGATCGCAACCCTCAGTGT